TCATCTAGTCCAACCTCCTGCTCAGGCAGGAAACCCTATACCATTTCGGACAAATGGCTGTCCAGTCTCTTCTTAAAAACTTCCAGTGTTGGAGCATTCACCGCTTCTGGAGGCAGGTTGTTCCACTGGTTAATTGTTCTAACTGTCAGGAAGTTTCTCCTTAGTTCTAGGTTGCTTCTCTCCTTGATTAGTTTCCATCGGTTGCTTCTTCTCCTGCCTTCAGCCGCTTTGGAGACTAGCTTGACTTCTGGGAGTTGAAGTCCACAAATTAACTTAGAGTGGCCAGGGTTGGAGACCCCTGGTCTAGAAGCAGGAAGGTCCAGGTTAATGGCTATTCTCAGGCACAGAGCTTCTCTCAGATGGGGGTGGGGGGAGTTAGCCCAGTCATTCTTCACCCAACCTACACCACAGAATAGTAGCGGTAGAGAAAAATGGAAGGAGAGAGTTTAGTGTTTAGCCTACAGTTGAAAACCTCTAGAGAATCTTCCCCTATCTGGGGAGGATTTGTTTTTTTTAGCTGTACAAAGTTTGTGGAAGTTGCTTTAGTGCATGGTGGTTACCACTTGTCTTTTATTAATTTGTTGCCCAGAGTCAGATCAGATTGCAGTAGTCTCCCAAGTACTGTTAGTGGAATATAAATCTAACACAGGGGTCTCCAAACTTGGCCCTTTTATGACTTGTGGACTTCAACTCCCAGAATTCCTGAGCCAGCATGGCTCAGCATGGAAACCTCTCCCTTTCTCCTCAGCATGGCTGGCTCAGGAATTCTGGGAGTTGAAGTCCACAAGTCATAAAAGAGCCAAGTTTGAAGAATACCTTGAATGTGATGTGATTGTGTCGATGTAGACCAGGGGTCTTCAAACTTGGCCTTTTTATGACTTGTGAACTTCAACTCCCAGAATTCCTCAGCCAGGCACATGTGCCTGGCTGAGGAATTCTGGGAGTTGAAGTCCACAACTCATAAAAGGGCCATGTTTGAAGACCCCTGATTGAACAAATAACAAATATATACGCACCCATGTAAGTCACCTTGGCCTTGTTTATTTATTTCATGAATTTGTATGGATGCCCATCTCATATGCCTGATGGCTAACAGCTGAAAAACAGAATAACGATATAATAAAACAAGCAACCAACGTTTAAAAAACCAACAACAGAAATAACATAAAATAATACAGCAGCCAAGACCATCTCAGTTAACTCAACCACGATCAAGAAACAGGCTCGCCCATACCCTCAGGGCCCCGGGCTTGTTGGCAAAACCAGGTTTCCAATGCTTTGCAAAAGGCTAGTAAGGTTGAGGCAAGTCTCGTCTCTGGGGGATGAGGCCCCAAAGGGCAGGTGCCAGAAATGGCTCTGCTCTTGGCCCTTGCCAAATGGCACTCTTGCAAATGGAACTTAGAGCATGCCTCTCCCGCGGCATCCCCCATGCTGGGCAGATATACTGCTGGGGTGGGAAGGGTACAGATAGTCCTCGACTTACGACCACTATTGAGCCCAGAATTTTGGTCATAAGTCGTTAAGCAGGATCCCGCACGACCTGAGTCAAATTTAGGACTCTTTTTTTATGAAGGTCGTTAAGCGAGTCATGGCAGTCATTAAATTAATCATGTGGTTGTTAATCGAATCCAGCATATCTGATAAGTGGCGTTTTTTTGACGGTTTCTGCTGGAAAATGGCAAAAAAAAAACCATTGCAAATCACAGTCATGTGACTACAGTTCACTGCATCCAGTTGTAAATGCGAGCCAATTGCCAAATGCCTGAAAAACAAAACTGACTGCAAGGTGGAGTTGCAGCAGTCATAACTTTGAGGACATGTCGTACGTAGCTTTTTTTTTAAATCTGTGGTTACCTTGAACCGCCAGTCATTAAGCGAGGTCTACATGTACATCAATGACTATCCTCCAGGTAATGTTGCAAATCAAAGTGGACCACCATTTTAATAGTCTTTGGTCAATATCCCAGTACGCTGCAAAAGGCTTCCATTTCCTTCTCTTCCATTACAATGGTCCCCGGTGTATTTATTTTATTTTCTTCTTCTTCTGAAAATAACAGTGACCCTTCCGATATTAAAATCTGTATTTCAGCTGTAATAAATATGTGTCTCATTTCTCTCCCTTTTAGACCCACAGAGAGCTACTTAAGTTGTCTGAGGGTATCGGCTTCAGGATACATTTGATTCACAAAGCTGCTGAAACAGCAAAGAAATTTGGGCCAAAATCTTCTCAGAAATTTGGTAAAGTAGGAATGAATAGGGATCCGTATTCAACTCCATCTCCTTGCTTTTTTCTAGCTGTTCTTAACTGTTGCTTTTTCTACAGATATTTTGGTCACTACTCCAAACCGACTTATCTATCTGCTGAAACAAGACCCCCCAGCCATTGATCTCACCAGGTAAAAAGGAATAGAAACACCCACCCACCTCCATTTTTTAAATGTATGCCTACATTTGGTGGTAGTTGCTAAAGGATGGGTCTGCAGTGTTTGTGCTATTTGTAGATTTAATTTTGCCTAAAGATGTTGATCCCAAAAAATCCCATGCCAATTAAAATTTATAATGTATACGTAAAACAAATGTCCATAGAGTTTGCATAATTTTGCTAGCTGGTAGCAGAAAAGGGTGGTTGTGAAGAAGCACGTAGGAGAAACAGAGTTCATCACAGAGGCGCTTATAAGAAAAGTCAACTATATATTAATTAGCAAATAATTTAATATCCATACTTTCATTCTGATATTTGCTCACCAGCCTTAATAAGGCCATCTGGAGTTTGGCAGTGAGCAGTGATGTGATTTTACTGTCTATGTAGCACCTCCTAATTGCAGCCTTATCTTTTCTGCCCTAGAGTTGAATGGCTGGTGGTGGATGAGTCAGACAAATTGTTTGAAGATGGGAAGACAGGATTCCGAGACCAGCTGGCTACCATCTTCTTGGCATGTTCCTCCCACGTTGTCAAGAGAGCCATGTTCAGTGCAACATTCGCGCATGACGTAGAGCAGTGGTGTAAACTCAACCTGGACAATATCATATCTGTATCCATCGGAGCAAGGTGAGTGTTGGGATTAAAGGCTGGCTCTCCCTGATTGAGGGTGGATTGCTCTCGGCAGATGATTCGTTCTCCTTGCCTGGTCTCTACCGCGGAAGGGAAGTCACTTGCCCATTCATTTCCTGCTCTGGAATCAAATTCTTCCCATGGAGTTCCATTGCTCCTCTTCCTATTCTGGGCAGTTTCCATTGCTGTTGCTTACCCTGCTGAAGAGACAAGCAGTTTTTTAGCTAAGCTGAAGCGGGTGCTTGACTTTTTGATATACAAAGTCCTTTGGACTCAACTTTCATCTATCAGATGGTTGTTTAGGCTGCAGGTATCCCATCTTTCTCCCAAGGTCATTCCCACATACAGAAGGGGGGGAGTAAGGCTATTCTAAGTGGCTGCTGATGCTCAGCTGCTTCTTATTCTGTGAACTCTGCTCACTAAACTCTTTATTTTGTGAAGTCCTTGGTGTTTTCCTTTATCTCACAACACATGGACAGACTCAACCATACTTTCCACCAGGAAACTAAACATCCTGCACTAGCGGCCCCCAGCTTTTAGGCACCAGGGACCATTTCTGTGGAGAGAGGTTTTTCCGTGGACCAGAGGGGGCGTGCCTGCAGCCCGGTTTCTGGCATGCCGCAGCTCAGTATCAGTCCACGGACTGGGGGTTGGGAACTCCTGTCTTAGACCAGTGGTGGCGAACCTATGGCACACATGCCAGAGGCGGCACTCAGCCCTCTCTGTGGGCACCCGTGCCATGCCCCGGAGATGGCAACCGTCCTCTTCAACCAGCCGCCCTGTCATTAGACACATGACACGCCTGCTAACTCGCCGAGGTCCCACGTGGCCGGATGCATCCCAGCACCCATGCACTTGCTGGCCTGTGTGTGCGGGGGCCGATGGTGCCAGGCCCCTGCCTCACCCTACGACAATGGCACCCCCGCCCTGCCTCGCCTTGCCTCGCATCACCCCGCAGGACCAGCCTCCTGCCCACTGCCCCACCCGCCAGAGACCCCCTGGATCTCCCCCAACCCTGCCCAGCCCCCACAGGTGTCTCTCCCCAAGAGCAACATCGAGTTGGCCACGCCCACCCATTTGCCATGACCAGTGGCCACACCTACCCAGCAGGCCACACCCACCCATCAGCCACGCCCACCCGGCAATACATAAGTGAGTTTTGGGTTGAAGTTTGGGCACTCGGTCTCTAAAAGGTTCGCCATCACTGTCCTAGACCAAGCTAAATCCAAAAATGTTAAAGAATTCCCGGAAGCCTGGCTGTCATGGTTCCAACAGATGAAACTCTTCAAAGAACTTCGAGGCATTGTTTACCTTAAAGAATCTTTATTGGAGTAGCATAGCTTTGGCACGAACATAGTGGAAGCCAAAAACTGAGTTCCCCTCCCCTGAGCACATAGTATCAAAGCACAATTCCCTCCCCCAATTAACAGTCATAAATCACATTCCCCAATTAGTTTGAAGTGCGGGCTTCCCCTCCAGCTCTCCAGCCCGCCAATTCTTTATCATCTCTTATTTCAATAACCTTGTTTCTCACACTAGGTTCAGTAATGTTATGTTTAGCTAAACTCTCATGCACATTCCTCCCCCCAGCATCATCTAACTCTTACTCTTAAGAGTAAAACAAAAGAAGAAAATGGTTGCATCTCCATCTGTTGTCAATGCAAAAACATCCGATGTTAGCAGCGATGACACTGGCATTCAGACAAATCAACCATCAATAAACACATTGAGATAAACCACGTTTTTGTGCCATTTGAAAGAAAAAAATAAGTTAAGAAAAAAAAAAAGACCAGAGAGATCTTTTTCATGTTGATATTTTTTCTTTTAAAATGTTTTGCTTGTCATCCGAGAAGCAGTGTGAATTGAAGAAACCTCTTGGATGAGAAGTGAAACTTTTTCAAAGAACCCCCCCCCCCAAGAAAGTCCAGTTTGCCTTTTGAAAAGCACCTTTAGGACGTTTTGATGAAAGATATTTTCTGGACCCCTGGTAACACTTCCTGAATGATGATGATGATGATGATGATGATGATGATGATGATGATGATGATGATGATGATAAAGTTGGAAGGGACCTTGGAGGTCATCTAGTCCAAGCCCCTCCTCAGGCAGGAAACCCTACACCATTTCGGACAAATGACTGTCCAGTTTCTTCTTAAAAACTTCCAGTATTGGTGCATTCACCGCTTCTGGAGGCAGGTTGTTCCACTGGTTAATTGTTCTAACTGTCAGGAAGTTTCTCCTTAGTTCTAGGTTGCTTCTCTCTTTGGTTAGCTTCCACCCGTTGCTTCTTGTCCTGCCTTCAGGCGCTTTGGAAAATAGCTTGACTCCCTCTTCTTTGGGGCAGCCCCTGAAATACTAGGAGACTGCTATCATGTCCCCCCTCGTCCTTCTCTTCATTAAACTAGACATACACAAGGCATACACATACACAATGACACAAGGCAAACGTAGAAAGATTGTTTATTTGGGAGTTCATCTAAAAAAAAAAGTTTGTTAAGCCTGAGCTGTCTTCAGTACTTTGACTTTTTGCTTCAGAAATGCTGCAGTTGAGACGGTGGATCAAGAACTCTTATTTGTTGGATCAGAGACAGGAAAATTGTTAGCTGTGAGAGATCTTGTGAAAAAGGTAATTTTGTTTTCATAACAAGTCTGTCTATTGGGCAGTTTTCTGTGCTGAATCAACCTGGTATGTTCATAAAGCAGAATAAATGCATCTTGAGGGATGCAGATGTTTTAGAAGAGGAAGGTAGAAACTGTTAGAGATATATAATTCACTTGAAATGCTAAGTGAGAATACGCTTTCTTCAAGGTACCTTCATATTGAAAAGAAGGAAGGAGGGAGAGGAGTGGAGAAAAGATGCAGGCCTCAAATTCACAACCAACCATTTTCATATCAATAAGTTATGATTATTTGTCTCATGGGATAGCAGCCTCTGAGCAAATCAGTGCAGAATTTTGGAATGAGCCTTCACTGTTCTTTCTAATCTTTTTCCTGCTGCTACTTGATGCCAGAATTAGAACATCCAGTTGAGATTGTGAGACACTTATCAAATCTCTGCTGGTTCTTGGAGATCACTGGGTAATGTTGGGCCGCCCTTTTGAAGGATCTTGAGGCTGCATCACAAGAGGAAATGCTGAAATTCGTGTTGTTTGCTTATTTATGAAACAAATTTACAGGACCGCCCAGCTCACTGGTGATTCTGACTGGCTTATAACAAAAAAAAAAATCCACAACATAAAAGCCCATAACTTCCTATTCTCAGATACAGGAAGTCCCTGACTTTGTTGATGCAGGTAGTGCTCAACCACAATCGTCCCCAAAATTTTTGTTGCTAAGCGAAAGATTTCTGAGTTTTGCCCCCGTTTTACGATTTTTCCTGCCATCGTTGTTAAGTGAATCATTGCAGTGGCTAAGTTAGTAACAACGGTTGTTAAGTGCATCTGGTTTCCTCATTGAATTTGCTTGTCAGAGGGTTATAAAAGGTGTTCACATGACCCTGGGACACTGCAACTGTCATAAACGTGAGTCAGTTGCCAAGCATCTGAATTTTGATCACACGACCATGGAAATGCTGCAACAGTCGGGT